GGCCAGGGTAGAACTGCCCCCTGTGGGCCCCAGACTAATCCAGCGGTCCTCAACCGGTGGGTCGCGACCCCTTTGGCGGCCCAACGACCCTTTTATTGGGGCCGCCTAAGCCCATGGGAAAACACATTCCCATGGTCTTCGGACCGCGACACCAGTTCTGCCCATATGCTGATCTGGTGGGAAAGAAGCTATCTCAGCCTTCTCTCAGATTGGGCCTTTTACGCATTCTGTCGCAAAATGTGGCAAAGTAGTTTACTGTTATAGTAAGACTGTTAACTCATGCTACACCATGCTTCAAGACAAAATTTTATTTATTTGTAATTAGACAAATATTGAACAATGTATAATTATATATTATTTTGTGATTTATCACTATGCTTTAATTACGTTCAATTTGTAACAATAAAAATGCATCCTGCATATCAGCTATTTACATTATGATTCATAACTGTAGCAAAATTACAGTTTTGAAGTAGTAACGAAAATAATTTTATGGTTGAGGGTCACCACAACATGAGGAACTGTATTAAAGGGTTGTAGCATTAGGAAGGGTAAGAACCACTGCTGTAATTTTTTTCTCTTACTCTCACTGCCATGTCTTTTATAGGAGTAGAAAGCCCCTTCTTTCTCCCATAGAGTGGCTGTGGTTTCGAACTGCTGACCTTGTAGTTAGCTGTCCAATGCATAACCACCCATCACCATTAGATAACCCTGCATTTGATATTTTGGGATAATGTTTATCCTTTATTCAGTACATTCAAGAGATTAAAATATACTTTAAAATATTTTAAACTCTAGTTTTAGAACTTCAAATGATTACAATTTTGTTCCTTTTTGTCAGAAAAGTGGGTTGAACTAGATGACTATAGCCACTATTTATTGAAAATGTATTATCTCTTTGTAAGGTGTTATCTCATTTAATCCACATAATGGTCCTAGCTATAAATACTATTTTTTATACAAACATGGAAACAGCATCAAAAAGGTTAGGTTTAGGCCACTTACTCAAATTACACAGCATGTAAGTAACAAAGTTGAAATTGGAGTCTGTGTTAGCTTACCCCTAGCTAGTCAAAAGTCCTGTGCGTCTTTCCTACATGTATTTATACTAACCTGAATTATATTTTAGGCATCGGCCCCAGGCTTCAAGCTATTTTCTTATATCTTAAGATAGTGTGGCGAGTAGGTGGAACCAAAATAACAAAATGTATTTATACTCATGAAAATAGTTTGTTTTATAATCCCCTAAGTCTTAAAAAAGAAACCCCAGACAAGAACCAACCCCATTGCTCCAGTCTTGTTGAATCTGTTCCTCCGAACAGTGACCCAGTAGGGCAGAGGGGAGCCTTCCTCCAGGGTTCCCAAGGTTGTACTACCTGTTTCATCTTTCTCCAGAAAAGTGTCTGGTCACCCACTCATGGGTTAGTAACCAAACACTTCAGCCTCTGTGCCACCAGGGCTTCTTAAATTCAGGCCTTTTGCCTGATGTGGCCCAGAATTGAACCTGGGAAGGCAACTATACTAACCGTATCACCAGTGCCTTAACTGTAAAAAAAAAGCCTTCTGTTATTGGGACGGTTCCTTCTCATTAACGTTCTATGATTCTTGACAGGTCTGGCTAGCTGCTTGTGAAAAGTCAGAGCATCATTCTGCTGGGTTCACAGGGCTTCCCCATGAGTCACCCTCGATTTGATAGCAACTAACAAAAACATTTTTAAAGAGTGTAAAATAGTTTATCGTAGAGAAGCACATGAAGAGTGTGAGGACAATGAAGAAGAGTAGCAGCATCTGGGTGGGTTGCACAGCCAGTGCCAGCCACTGGGCGTCTTGATTTAATACATATTTTTGCAAGCCCCCTTCTTCACTCACCCCCAAGTTACTCAGGAGCAGTGCAAAACAAGTTCCCACCACCCTTACTAGTGTGGGGGTGTGTCATCTGGCTTTGGTAGTGCAGCAAATGGGATCCTCCCACCCCCAACTTTAAAAGTAAACAGATCTTGAAAGTGAGTGTTGCTAGAGATTAGACAGTATCATATGCAAATAAGTGTTAATTATCTACTGGGAAGGGGGTGGTAAAGGAATAATTTGGAGCTGATGATGGGAGGCTTTAGGAAGTCCCAAGGAAAGTGAGCCAGATGTTAACTTTTTGTCATCAATAGGGTTCATTTGAGTGGCGATGTCAGAAGAGGTTATTGCTATGCTCTGCACTTAGTTCTGCAACTTTAAAAAATTGAATTTTTGTTAGCTCAGTAATTGAAAATAGCTAACAGCTTTTACTTATAAATCAAGATTACTTTTAAAACAGAGAACTGTTTTCCCATGAAGTACTGGTGATTACACATCTCCGAAGAAGCTTTGCCTTCTACATTATTTATTTAACTGACATTTCTGGAATTTCAACCACAAGCCTGCATTTACAGCTCTGTGGGCCATGCATGTGAATTAAAGAGCCTTCTATGTGACAACAAAAAAAAGTTTTTTTGGTGGAACATGTAGTGTGCTTCAACCCCCAACCCAGTGCCTAGAGCCCAGTGCTCAACAACTTGCCCCACCAGGGTTCCTTAACCAGGTATCCATGTTGTACCTTATTCATGGACTTTCCGTTGAACTCTACTTAGATCAACAAAGAGAACAATGAGGGAGCATGCTTCTCTAAAAATGTACAGCCTGGGAAACCCTCTGGAGCAGCTCTACCCTGTATTTTTAGAATCACTGTGAGTCAGAACCTGTCTCAATGGGTGGGATGCTGAAGCTTGCAGTATAATAGATATTATCTTGAGTCTTTATACAGGAAATGCAGGTTCTCTTAAGGAAAAGAAGGTCCAGGAATCTTGCAATTAAAATTGCACCATTGTATTTGCTACTGTTGTGTGCCACTGAGTCGATTCCAACTCATATAGCTAATGAAGTGCAAAATACTGCTTTTATAAAGTCTACAAAATGGAAGACCCAGTATATGATGAGTATTTGTGGAAACAAAGCCACATTGAGGAATTTGCCAAAGTGTTTAAATTTGAATGTTTAACTCTTGATTTCAGAACATTTACTGTAATGGAGTTCTTGTATTTCCCCCTATGAATTTTATTGTCATAAAGTTAAGGCTTTCTTTGGAATGTTTCTGCCTCATCCTTTGCCCTCTTTTTCCTCTCCCTGCCCCCTAGCCTTGGCTATCAGGAATAAAAAGAATAAGCATTTGCCTAGTAGTATCCAAGGAGCCTTAGTGGTGCAGTGGTTGGTAACCAAGAAGCACTGATAACAAAAAAAGTGACTGGTTTAAACCCACCAGTCACTCCTCTGTTTCCATAAAGATTACAGCTTGGAGAACCATATGGGATACTTCTGCTCTGTCCTATTCGGTCACTATGACTTGGAATCAACTATGATAACTTTTTTTGGGAAACCTTACCCCCTTCCAGTCTATAGCCCCAGTCTTGCTCCGTCAGACTTCCTTTTGTTCCCCATGTCAAAGTACATTTTAAGGGGTATGTGTTAAGAAAAGAAAAATAAAATAATGCATTTTCTTATTAAACAAGATTTGAGTCCTTTGAGGATGCCAAAAACCAGCAATGTATAAAAGAGCGCTGAATCCTCTGAGGAAGGGTCAGAGAAATGGAAGCAGTTTATTCAGTCTATAGACCTAGAGAGGATACATCAAGAAACAATAGCTTCACATTTTGATGTTTTTTGAAAAATAATGATTTCTATGGTTTTATACTAGTACTTTTTGAATTAACTTTGTACAGTATGACTTAGATTGACAAAAATTGTACAGGCTTTTGTTAAAGTAGAAAAGCAACCTTTGCTAACCTCATGGGTATGTGTTAAGAGAAGAAAAAACTAAATAATGAACCATTTATTAAAACAAAATCATGAAGTACCATTTATAACATATGTACTACACAAAATAATAAAATAACTGACAATCATTTTTGGTATTACTTGGCCTGGAATTGAAAAAGGACGAAGATAATTATTTTCAAAAGAGACTTAAGAAAGAAGCAGCCAGCCATTATGAAGGGAAACAAGTCTCTCATTTTGTTTTTAGGTAATAAATCATCGGCAAGATGTCTTCAGCACCTGAGCCCCCAGCCTTTAAAAATGAAGCTCCCAAAGACAAAGATTTTCGAAACCCGGGTCTCAGAGGGGTCCGCACAACAACTTTATTTCGAGCCGTGAATCCAGAGCTTTTCATTAAACCTGTAAGAAATACATCCAGAACAAGGCTTAATGCTTAATCTAATTTAAATATCAGAAGTAGAAAGTTTTTATTTGTCTGTAACATGTGATTCTATCATGGAGATTTTATATTGCCCAAGATGACCTGGAGAAGTCTCATTGTGCAGTGGTTAAAGCATTAGGTTGCTAAGTAAAAAAGCTCGGTGGTTGGAACCCACCTACATCTTCATAGGAGGAAGATGTAGTCTGCTTCTGAAAAGATTTACAGCCTTGAGAACTTTGTGGGGCAGTTCTACTCCGTCCTATCAAGCTCACAAGGAGCAGAATCCACTTGACAGCAATGGTTTGGTTTGGGTTTTTTGTTAAGACAACCTGAGAATAAAAACAGATGGAAGGAAAATAATAAAAATTAGACATTGCTATATAACAACAAATTTAAAGCTAAAGGTTTTCATAGTGACAATGACAGCAGAAAAGTTACACTTTATCAACTCCTCAAACTATTTAAAATGTCACTTTATTAGCTGCATTAATTTGAAGGAAATTATGGTTTGATGTTGTACCATTAGGTCAATAAGATGATCCATTGATTTTTTTTTTAAATGAAGAAAA